TGGAACCTGATAAAGCGGATAATCACGCCCCCGCCCCAACACACCTTTTTGTTTTATAACCTGTTATCTCACTAGCAATGTTATCCTAATTTTTCATCAGTTAGATTATTATTTTGGTAGTAATTAATCTAGCTTTTAGACTGGACATGTCAGCTACACTTTCACGAAGAAAGAAGTGAATTGGATGGGGAACAAATCCCACATACGGGTAATATACCCCAGCCTACGTTATAACAAAACACTACTTCTCTGGGAGTTAAGGTACATGATTTTAGTTCCCCGGTCAAAGTTAAAAATAAAAGGATCAAATGTCATTTAGAGGTCATTAAAAATCGCCGTGACAGTAAGATGCTTGTTGAGATTTGCTTTTCGTTTCTAGTTCGTGTACTTAAATCGAATCCCGATTTTTAGTTATAAGTTTTGAAGCTTATTGCTGAGCAACTGGTAGGGGTGGGGTGGGGTCTACCACTTCGTATACTTCTTTTAACAATGTCAAAGCTATAAGTTAGCAAAAGTTACAATAAATATAAAACTAAGATTTGCATCAATCTCATTTAGAGATCATCAGAGGTCGCTGTGACAACATGGGTGTCTGTTCAAATTTGGCTCTTCCTATTAGAAATTACCTTCGTTTCTAGCATATGTATTTGTTCGAACCCCAATTTTTAAACTTATAAGTCCTCGTGATTACCACTGAGAACTGGGAGGTAATTACTTTGTATACTAAATAAACTGTGTCAACCGAAGTCAGTGAGTTTAATGTTATATTGTTTTTAAAGGATAAATGATTCATATTTAGTGTCTTACTTTCTGTACATCCCTAGTTACTTGACTGTTCTATCACTAAGCCAACAAAAATAGTAAACTAATGATTTTACAGGAATATGAATGATGACCGAGATATGCAGTTTGTAGGAGGTCATACACACTTTTAACAAAATATGTAAATATGCAAAAAAATGAGATAAATTATGTGAATATTAAGTAATAACAGATGCTGAAGGATGAATAGAGGACGTAGTCCCAATTACCACGAATGTTGTTGTTGTTGTTTTATTAACTTCGCGCAAAGCCACCCGAAGGCTATCTGCGCTAGCCGCAGGCCCGCCGATAGGGGGGGGGGGGAGAGGAGAAAATGGGCAACTACATAGGGGCCTGGCGAATGAAACTTGTTTATGCCGTTGTAAAGTCCGCAAAGCACCTTTAGGCTATATCTTCATTTAATCATAAAAACCACAGTTTTTGGCTTTTCTTTTGCAC